GAAGATCATTCAGAGACTTTGGGTTGTTTCTTTTGGGGACGGTGTGACTGTCAATTGAGTGTTGAAATGGAGTCCGAACACACTTCCTAGTTGCCCTGTCTCAGCACTCAACTGCTGATGTTGTCAGGGCCGGGAGAGCTCCTGGTCCTCCTGAGGGCTCTCACCATGTCCTCAGTCCTGAAGGTGAGTGCAGAGCTGCCAGGTCTGAGTGAGGATCTGGACTCCTCAAGCTGGGAGGGTGTGGCTCAGGTGGTAGAGCAGATCAGCTACTGATTGGAAGGTTCAATCCTTGGCCTCCCCAATCTGCATGCCAAATATCCTTGGGCAAGATGCTAACCCCAAGTTGCCCTCCGATGCGTTCATCGGAGTGTGAATGTAGGTTAGTTTGCACTTGTGTTTAGAAGTGCTTTTATGAGTGGGTGTGAATGAGGCATGTTGTATAGTTTGAGTACTCTGGGAGAGTAGAAAAGCGCTGTATAAGAATCAGTCCATTTACCATGTTTAGTCTCCTAACAGCAATTCAAACTGTAATCCTTGTGTTTAAGAATTTACCTCGTTAAAAACTATATTCTGCATCCATCTTTTTTGTGTGCTGACATCAGAGCTAGCAAACCCACATCTCTCACAAACAAAAGCACACAGTACACCGTTCTCTGACCTGAGATGATCAATGAGTGTTTGATGTCTCAAATGGAACAAGCTGCATTATACTTACTTACATTTGAATTAAATTTCCTTCACCTTTAGATGTCAGAGACACCAAAAGGCTATGGCCTGCGATGCCAAACAATGCCCATGCATGATGATATGTGCTTCTCTGTTTGAGCTGATGTTGTACCTGTGGATGCTGAGCTGCAGGGCTCTGGCGTGCTCCCGGTCAGACAGAAAGCTCTGCTGCTGTGTGCAGTCTGCTCCATTATGGGAGTCTCGCAGCAGCCACTGCTCTCTCAGAGCCTTTTTCTGTGCAGAAGAACAGAATGATCGTTAGTGTGGGTTGGGACTGGAAGTATAAATACAGGTCTGCAAACAGGTAGGACTATCCTGTCTTTCTCTCCTCACCCCAACCAGTCGTGGCCATCTGCTGCGACATTCCTGTTAAAATGGAGTTTTTCCTCCCCACTGTTGCCAAAGTGCTTGCTCATAGGGGGTCATATGATTGTTGGGTTTTTCTCTGTTGTATTATTGTAGGGTCTACCTTACAGTATAAAGCACCTTGAGGCGACTGTTGTTGTGATTTGGCGCTGTATCAGTAAAACTGCATTGAAATGAACTTCTGCAGTTCATGCTGATAATACACATCCAATGAAATGATTTGCTCTGCACTTTATCTGCTGTTATAGCCGATCATTTATTCAAACCAACCTTCAGATGTTGCAGTTTGAATTTCTCTTGATCGAGTTTCACTTTCTTCTTTTTAATGTCCTCTTGAATTCGATGCTTCTGCTGTTTCATCAAAAGCAAAAGCTTAAATGAGTGAATATATGAAACATTTACAATCGACAGTGGATTGTCAGAATAAGTCAAATATCTATTGAAAATGTAGCCCAGTGAGTTTGCACGACTCTGTAATGCACTACAACATTGTTATTGCTAATTGTGATTCATCGTTACTCTGTCAATCACTGAGTTGAGCTAAAGTAAATCAATAATAAGATAAATGATCTAAATATAAAAATAAAACCCCAGAGAGTATATTTGAGGGCCCTACTGGTTAGGAAGGAACAAGCCCCGCCTTCCCCTGCTCTGTACCGTCACGTGCTCAGACACAGAGGAGGTGCACCGTCGCTGATTTTCACCACCAAGCTTATTGCTGGAAAATAACTATAAACTTGATAAATTGAGCAGATATCCATACTGGAGTTCTGCAGGGACCTTGGAGAAACAGACCTGATTTGTTTTGAACATTTTGGAACCATTGCGTGAGTCAGAAGCTAACCTTGAAGCTAACAAGCTAACAAGAAATTAACGGGGAATATAGTGGCCCTATTTCAATGTTGTAGATCTGCATGGGTGCGAATGAAGTGGACAAGATCCTTTCTGAGAGTTGAACATTAGAAGCCTGCTGGTGAGTTAAACTGGGACTTGGCGAATCAGGCTAATTAAAAAGCTAATTAGCTTAATGCTCGTAGCTGTAGCTGTAGCCGACCACGTTTCCACTGTGGGAGAACACACGGGGTTTCTCAGCTACTCTGAGCACTCAGCTGTGTGCTGATGATGTTCTAGTTTTACATGTTGAATATTAAATGCACTAAAAGAAGATGATGGAATAAGTTAATGTTGATCTTAAAGGTTATGAATCTATTTGATGCTCGAGCGGCACTGTAAAGATGTCTCTGCGTATTCTTACTGTGCTGATATGTTACCACATACTGTAGAACTACAGCCTTTGGGCTTTTGTATATTTTTGGTCATTTTATTTTGTACATTGAGTGTAATTAACATATTGCTTCATTGCTATGCAGTGCAAAGCAGTGCTCCTGTAATTCAGTTAAAGGGGCAGTACTGGGAAAGATCATCTACCATAGTTCATGGTTTATTTCTGGTTTCTGATAGAAATGTGCACCATGATGGAAAAATAAGCTGATTGTGATTTAAAGATTGCATTCATGATTAAGATGCACTGTATAGACTGTAATTAGAAATTAGAATGAATGTTTTGTTTGATTTGTTATAGCACTTACATTATTTACATATGGCCATATATATCATTAGAGCGTGAACTGAATTAGTAACAGTCCTGTTGTTTACACGCTAGGCTTTTTTTGTGGCATCGTGAGACCTGGATTTCTTCCTGACGAGGAAGATGGCGAGCTGTTCCCTTTGAACCGAACCACAGCCATTGCGAGTTGGCCCAGAAGGGCAGGTTGCTCTTCTCTCACGGAGAATTGGACAAAATCACACCAATCACAGACTTTTGACCTTTTGACTTGACTGAACACGGACTATTAAGCCGGCAAGACGGACACATCTGAGCTCAGAGAGGATTCTGGTTACTATTATTATTGCTGTTGTTGTATTTAATGTTTCATTCCTGTCTATGAAGTGCTGTTTAATTGTTGCTATATTATTCAATACAATTCAAAGCAACTTTCCCTGTGGCTCCACTCGTTCTTCTGCACGCAACTCACCATGACCCTCCTGCGAGCTATTGGCCCATTCTCTCCATCTTACTTTAACCCCCCCTGCCCTGTCCTGTACTTGGCTACAAAAGCAAACTCATCCTCAGAAAAGTTTAAACTGTTTCATTTAAGTTTTAAATGTTCCAAAGTTAAGTTAAAGGACAGAAAAAGGTCATAAACAAATGACAAAAGAACTAATTTACATTTTTTAGAGTCAAAAGCCACAAAGATTTAATTTGTTACTTATTTAAATAATAATAATTATTTGTAAGTTACATGTTTTATTTTAGAGTACAGTAAAAAACTAAGACTGTACACGTCTCAGTAACATCTGCATCATGCTCTAAAACCTCAGAATGAAAGTGTGAGTAATTGTCAAATAGATAAGCAGATATCTTGTGTAGTGTAGCAAAGTGTCTGTGGCTGCTCAGAGTGGACATTACAGTGATGGCCTGCAGCCTCTCCTTCAGCAGGTCACTCTCCTCCATACTGCTTCAGGATCAACACAGAGACTGGAGACGAGAAGAAAGAACCTGTCAGACGCCTTTATTTCACAGTATCACTTATAAACATGACCACCAGCAACATTAAGCCAAACTCAAACTGACACTTCAATATAAGAGAATCAGCGTCACTCTGAAGCGTGAGTCATGCACAGCTGCCTGAGCAGAATCCAAGCATAAAAAAACGACTGAAACGAGCAGCATGAAACAGCTGTTTCACCCTGAGTACACTGTGACATCACTATTTCAGTATCTGTTCCTCTGACAGCACACTGCCACCTGCCAGCTTGTTCACTCTTTACGACACAGTCATCTGCTTACCCTAAAAGAACCATTTATAACTTTTGTCTAGAGCTGGGCGATAGAATGATAACGATATGTATTGCGAAATATAGAAAAGTTAAACTATTGCGATAGACCTCATCTCTCTTGTCCTCTTAAAAAAAAAGAACAGCCAATCCAAATTAACGAGC